GGAAAGCCTACCGTAGTATCCCGAAATGAATCGCAACACATACTTGCGTCAAGCACAGCCAAAGGATTAGTTTTGACGTAGTCTATCAAAGGGAGAGTTCATCGAAGTATCTCGGAAAGAACCGCAACACATACTTGCATCAAACACAGCCAAAAGGTGAGTTTGGAAGCAATATATCAAGGGGAAAGCTCACCGAAGTATCCCAAGGTGAAGCGCCTCACACACAAGCACCCAAATCAGCAAAATGACAAGATTGATGACATCTACACTAGGGGAATGATCACCGAAGTATCCCGGAAAGAACCACAGCACATACTTGCATCAAACACAGCCAAAAGTTGAGTTTGGAAGCAATCTATCAAGGGGAAATCTCACCGAAGTATCCCAAGGTGAAGCGCCTCACACACAAGCACCCAAATCAGCAAAATAACAAGATTGATGACACCTACACTAGGAGAATGATCACCGAAGTATCCCAAGATGAAGCACTTCACACACAAGCACCCAGATCAGCAAATTGACAAGTTTGATGACATCTACACTAGGGGAATGCTTACCGAAGTATCCCAAGATGAATCGCAACTCACACAAGTATCAAGATTAGTAAAAACACAAGATTGAGAGCATCAACACTAGGGGAAGGTTCACCGAAGTATCCCAAGATGAATCGCAACACACACAAGCATCCAAATCAGTAAAAACACAAGATTGAGAGCATCATTACCAGGGGAAAGTTCACCGAAGTATCCCAAGATGAATCGCAACACACACAAGCATCCAAATCAGGAAAAACACAAGATTGAGAGCATCAACACTAGGGGAAAGTTTACCGAAGTATTCCAAGATGAATCGCAACACACACAAGCCTCCAAATCAGTAAAAACACAAGATTGAGAGTATCAACACTAGGGGAAAGTTCACCGAAGTATCCCAAGATGAATCGCAACACACACAAACATCCAAATTAGTAAAAACACAAGATTGAGAGCATCAACACAAGGGGAAAGTTCACCGAAGGATCCCAAGATGAATCGCAATTTGAGAGCATCAACACTAGGGGAAAGTTCACCGAAGTATCCCAAGATGAATCGCAACACACACAAGCATCCAAATCAGTAAAAACACAAGATTTTGAGAGCATCAACACTAGGGGAAAGTTCACCGAAGTATCCCAAGATGAATCGCAACACACACAAGCATCCAAATCAGTAAAAACACAAGATTGAGAGGGGGGAGAAGATGAAAAAAAGAGAGAAGAAGGAGGGGAAGAAGAGGGAGTAGATGAAGGAGGAGAGGAAGAAGGGGAAGAAGAAGGAAAAGGAGGAGGAGAGGGGGGAGGGAAAGAAGAAGAAGAGGAAGAGGAAGAAGAGGAAGAAGAAGAAGGGAGAAGGAGGAGAGAGCTCCCTCCTTTCTCATTCACCTCTTGCTGGTCTTCTAGGCAATGGAATCCCAAGCTTGGTTCTAGCTCCTTGGGTATGGCTTCCCCACCTCCAAGTTTTCTCCTCCTTCTCTCACACCCCCTCTCAAGTTATGGCAGGCTCCTACCTCTAAGGCTCTCAGCTTATGTAGGCTGAAACTGGTGCACCGCCCAACCTCTAGGCCTCTCCAAGTGCCGCTAGGTGGACCGAGGTACCCCCAAGGCCAAATTTCAGGTTTTGGCCTCCCTGGAGGTACCTGGGCCTCATTTCGGCCAGGTACATGCAGGCCGAAAGGCAAGTACCACCTCGAATTACCCCTTGGCCTACCTCGGCCTCTTTTTACTTCAAAAAGAGCTGCCTTTTGGGGTACCATTACCCAAAATGCTGCCTTTATGGAATTTTGAGGATCTAAAGGCCCATTTTTCGTCTTTTTCCTGGTCGAGGCCTCTTTTGGGTAGGCCGTTGCATTTTTTCAAGTGGCGGCTCTAATCTCTGCCTTGGATTTGGCTGAGATCCATGGTTCTCATCACTCCGAGCTACCCCAAGCTCCCCTTGGCCCAAATTTGAGTCTTTTACTTCAATTTTCAGTTTTTTTTGGTGTATCTGGCCCAATCCTTGGGCCCAATACGCAGTTTTGTCTTGTTTCCTCTCTTTGTTTTCCCTCCATTTTGCTGCCAACTCATTCCGGAGCTAGCCGTTTTGTGTCAGCCCACCAAAAACGGCTAGATTTCCTCCTCTGCAAGATCAGATTTCAGATCTAAGGCCCAAAAATGAGCCGGCCAACTCACATCAGCATTTTTTTTTATTTTTGTTGCATAAATTCAGATATTGCAGAGATAATGCCCCAAGGACCTTATCTCTGCAGTCCGGACTGCCCTCCTAGGATCTAGGAGGGATGAGGTCATCATTAAGACCTGCCAGTCCCTACCGCTGCAGTCCCAACCTGGCGGCACATTTTTCCTTCACCCATTCCTCCTCCTTTGTCTCATTCTCCCCCTTTTCCTCTCCCTTTTCTTTTATTACTGTTGGGACAAGTGTCCAACAACTATTTCTCATCTTTCTAGTTGTTGGACCTTTCCGAAGGTCCGATTTTGCAATAGTGGCACCCCCATGGTCCTAGGGGGTTCCTTTTGGCTGTCGCCGCTCCCAGCTTGAAACCCCTTTGCTCCGATTTTCTCCGGCCAACCATTTCTTCATGCGGGCCATCGGGACTTTGTTTTTCTTTACCCTGGCTGATCCGGACTAACCCGTACTGCTGGTCGGCCCCCTTATTACCACTATTTCCCCCTTTTTTCCCTTCGGCACCTCCCGTCGGCGCTTGCCGCGGCGGTACTTAGCATTTTCATCCGGACCCCTGGCCCGGACGGTGCCGTCCACCTGACATTATGTTATCTTATTTTTATCATTGTTGCGCTTGATCCAGGGTCCCCCTGGGTCGTCCCAGGTGCCTTCCGTCTTTCCCGTCTCACGCCCGTCTCCTCCGTTCTGTCGACAATTTCCGTTAGCGCCCGACTTCTCCTCTTTTCCTTATTGTTCCTAGCCCCCCCCCTTTTTTCCGACGTCATCCCGGGTGACGACCTGCTCTCGTGCGCCCCCCCCCCCTTGGGCTGGTCGCCGATTATTCCGCCGACGGCTCCGACCTTCAGCCCCCGTCGGCGGCTCCCGACACTTTATACCGTCGATACCCGTCCTGCTAGTGGTTCCGCTGGTGCCGCCATTTTATCTAGGCCCACGCGGTCCCTGGCACTTCGGCCCGCCTGCATTGCGTCTTTCCCTTGGTCTCACGCGGTTCCCGGTACTTCGCCCTGCCGGCACCACACCGTCCCTTGGTCCCGTGTGGTCCCCGACACTTTGTCTTGCCGGTACCGCCCCGTCCTTCGATCCCATGTGGTCCCCGACACTCCTGCCCCACCTGTACCACGTCTTTCCTTGGTGCTCCTGACGTCCTTCCGCCTTACGGTGATCTTCACTCCCCGTTCCTCTTGCGTCCCGCACGCTGTTCCATTTCGGGTGCCGGCTTCCATCCAACCGACTGCCTCCTTGGCCCTCTTACCGCCATGTCACGTCAGCGCCTTGCGCCCTGTCCCTTTCTACTTCCTTCCTTCCCTTGCTGCACACCTCCTATGCTACTACCGACTTTCCGACGGCCCTTCTCCGTCCTTGGGGAAAGAGTCGCCCCTGCTATTCTCTCACAGTCCTTTGCCGCTTCTTGCTTAGACAGTCCCTCTCTAGTTTGGCGGTCCTGACGACTTTGGGCAGCCTTTAGCTTCCTACTGTCTGTCCCCACGCTTCCGATCTTTCCAGCATTCCTGCCTCCGGTTTTCTCTGCCGTGCACAAATTGGTCATATACAGTCTCTCGAGTGACGGGAAATCATTCGGGACTCACCAGTCCCGACTCCGGCCCACCTTGAGGCGCATGGGAAGGCCTAAGGGCTGGGCGATGCACCTATTTGGGGAAGTGAAAAGAAGGGAGGAGAGGTGGGGAAGGTGGAAGCCATAGTCAGGGAGGGAGCACCAGGATTGAGACTCCACCACCAAGGGCACAAATAGGGGTGAGTGGAGGAAAAAAGTTCCTTCTTCTTTTTCTTCTTCTTCTTCTTCTTCTTCTTCTACTTCTTCTCATTCTTCCTTTCCCCCTCCCTCTTCCTCCTCTTTCCTCTTTTTCTCCTCCTCCTTCTCCCTCTTCTTCCTCTTCTTGTTTCTCTCCCTCTTTCTCTCTCTCCCTCATTCTGGTCTCATTTGGTGATGGTATGTGTTGTGATTCATCCTAGGATGCTCCGCTGCCCTTTCCCTTGTATTTGGCCTGCTCTCTCACTCATTCTGGTCTCATTTGGTGATGGTATGTGTTGCGATTCATCCTAGGATGCTCCGCTGCCCTTCCCCTTGTGTTTGGCCTGCCCAATCTCTCATCTTGGTCTCATTTGGTAGTAATGTGTGTTGCAATTCATCCTAGGATGCTCCGCTGCCTTTTCCCTTGTGTTTGGCCTGTTCAATCTCTCATCTTGGTCTCATTTGGTAGTAATGTGTGTTGTGATTCATCCTAGGATGCTCCGCTGCCCCTTCCCTTGTGTTTGGCCTGCCCAATCTCTCATCTTGGCCTCATTTGGTAATAATGTGTGTTGCGATTCATCCTAGGATGCTCCGCTGCCTTTGACCTTGTGTTTGGCCTATTCAATCCCTCATTCTGGTCTCATTTGGTGATGGTATGTGTTGCGATTCATCCTAGGATGCTCTGCTGCCTTTTCCCTTGTGTTTGGCCTGTTCAATCTGTCATCTTGGTCTCATTTGGTAGTAATGTGGGTTGCTATTCATCCTAGGATGGTCTGCTGCCCTTTCCTTTGTGTTTGGCCTGATCAATCTCTCATCTTGGTCTCATTTGGTAGAAATGTGTGTTGCGTTTCATCCTAGGATGCTCCGCTGCCTTTTCCCCAATGTTCGGACTGTTCAATCTTGTGTTTTGCACTAGGTTTGTAGGTGGTGATATCCCGATACTTACCTTGATGTTCCACTGTTCAAATTTTGGCTGTAGGACTGTTCAATCTTGTGTTTTGCACTAGGTAGGTAGGCGGTGATATCCCGATACTTACCTTGATGCTCCGCTGTTTAAATCTTGGCTTTAGGACTGTTCAATCTTGTGTTTTGCACAAGGTAGGTAGGCTGTGATATCCCGATGCTTACCTTGATGTCCCGCTGTTCAAATTTTGACTGTAGGATTGTTCAATCCTGTGTTTTGCACTAGGTAGGTAGGTGGTGATATCCCGATACTTACCTTGATGTTCCACTGTTCAAATCTTGGCTATAGGACTGTTTAATCTTGTGTTTTGCACAAGGTATATCCCGATACTTACCTTGATGTTTCGCTGTTCAAATCTTGGCTGTAGGACTGTGCAATCTTGTGTTTTGCACTAGGTTGGTAGGCGGTGATATCCCGACACTTACCTTCATGTTCTGCTGTTCAAATTTTGGCTGTAGGACTTTTCAATCTTGTGTTTTGCACTAGGTAGGTAGGCGGTGATATCCCGATACTTACCTTGATGTTCCGCTATTCAAATCTTGGTTGTAGGACTGTTCAATCTTGTGTTTTGCACTAGTTTGGTAGGCGGTAGTATCCCGACACTTACCTTGATGCCCCGCTGCTCATACATTGGCTGTAGACTTGATAAAACTTGTCTTTTGTGCTTGGTTGATAGGCGGAGATATCCCGACACTTACCTTGATGATCCGCTGCTGGTTTGTGTTGTTCACACTCATGCCTTCACTCATGTACCAGGTAGTTTTAATGTTGTTCATTTGTGATTTGTGCTGACCTCTCTCATGTTGTTCGCTCGTGTATTGGGTGGTTGTGTTCCGATTCACCTATGAGTGTTGTAATGCTGTTCACTTGTGATTTGTGTTGTTCACACTCGTACTTTCCACCCATGTACTAGGTAGTTGTGTTCCGATTCATCCATGACTGTTGTGAGGCTGTCCACTTGTGATTTGTACTGTTCACACCCGTGCTTGTCGCTCACGTACTAGGTAGTTGTGCTCCGACCCTTCTTTGAATGATGTGATGTCGTTCCCCCGTTGATCTTGGCTACCCGCGCCTGTGCTATTCATCCGCATGATAGGTAATAGTGCTCCGATTCTTTAAAGTCTGCAATTTTCTGAAAAGACTGTGCTTGCTGCAAACCCTGTATTTTCCTGCAATTACTAAATTTCCTGCAAAGATCTCTGTTTGCTGCAAGATGGGGTATTTGCGACCTCGGTGATTTCCTACGGGGTATGGATTAGTGACATCGGTGTGTCCACGGAAGGGATTGTGCTGGGGAAGTAGGTTGCAGATAGGCGGGACTTCCGGACATATGGGCAATTAAAACCGCACCACACCTCACACCTTCTTCCACCATCATCTTCCACCCCCATCCACCTTGCCCAGATGTCCAAAAGACAACTCAAAGCACCTCCCACCTCCATCCTTCTTCATCCCCCACACCCGTCCACCATAGCCGATCACCTTCCACCTCCATTCTCCTTCATCTCCCACACCCGTCTACCATAGTCAAGCACCTTCCACCTCCATCCTCCTTCATCTCCCACACCCACCCGTCATAGCCAAGTACCTTCCACCTCCTTCCTCCCTCATCTCCCACACCCAGCCACCATAGCCAAGCACCTTCCACCTCCATCCTCCATCCCCCACACCCGTCCACCATAGCTGATCGCCTTCCACCTCCATCCTCCTTCATCTCCCACACCCGTCCACCATAGCCAAGCACCTTCCGCCTCCATCCTCCTTCATCTCCCATTCCCACCCGCCATAGCCAAGTACCTTTCACCTCCTTCCTCCTTCGTCTCCCACACCCAGCCAACATAGCCAAGCACCTTCCACCTCCATCCTCCTTCATCCCCCACACTCGTCCACCATAGCCGAGCACCTTCCACCTCCGTCCTCCTTCATCTCCCACACCCGTCCACCATAGCCAAGCACCTTCCACCTCCATCCTCCTTCATCTCCCACACCC